GTTTCCACTTATTTCTTTAATTTTGTGCCCAGTCAAATAGGTTAACAAACATTGAAACATAGTAATTGCGTGAAGAACAAATACAGCTTGTGCGATTGGGCACTTTCCTGGCAACTCTGTTCTCTCTGCCAAAAGAATAAAAGAAAAGGAAAATAATTAAATTAAAGAGAAGAAACCCCAGAATACCAAAAACAAAATGGGAACTTCCTTTATGCAAAAGGTGCAAGGTTTGCTTCTCATCAGGCGCCCTATGATGGGCTTCTTTGTCCCACAACTCCAAAGATAAAACAAAGAAAAGAAAAGAAAGGGACAAGAAACAAAAAAAAAATAGAAGTGTTTGTATAACCCTTATTTATGTTTCCAAATTCTTTCTGGCTCAGGGCTTTGGTTTAGTGATAAGAGAGCGACACTTGTAGTGTGAATTAGGCCCACATCCTGAGTTTGAACCCAGTCGTAGATAATTTGATAAAAGCTTGTTATTTAAATGGAAAGGGCTAGAGTATGGGCCTATTATCCACTAAGTTTAAGCTGTTCGTCAGGTGGCCCTTGGGATTTCTTGGCCATCAAAAAATGTTCCCAAATATTTTCTGTTACTTTAGCCATAGGAATTCTATCTTGTTTCTTGTTCTGTTCGGGATAAATGTCATGGAACACAGACATTGCTTGTATGTATATGTTTTTATGACACTTCTGCTTCTTATTGTGGTTCAATTTCACAGATTCCTTTTGAAATCAATGCAGGCATTCTCACTGGATTTTAACTTAAGATCACACATGAAAACACACTCCCAGGAGAACTATCATATTTGCCCGTATCCAGAATGTGGAAAGCGATATGCACATGAGTACAAGCTTAAAAATCATATTTCATCTACTCACCAGAAGGTTTGTGATTTGCTCTATCGTCCTTGTCTTGACCAGGATATACTTATACAGACTTTATGAACTTTTTCCATCTTTGATCACAAACAAGGTGCTAAATGTCCTAAATGTTTCATCAATAATCACTTGCTGTTTCTTCCCAACTTTGGATCGTTAACATTATTTAAGCCAATTCTTCTTTGTAAACCAGACTGAACTTTAATTTCATATGCACATGTTTACTTTCTTTGAACATATTTATCTTTAAGATTTTCCTTGCCCATAAATTCCAATATGCTGGAGGAGCTCTGTTAGATATCTTTATTGGTATTTTTTATGTTGCATACCCATTACTCCTTCATTTCCTTGTTAAAGATGTTTTAAAGGAAAAAGATGCTATTCAATGTGTAATCTTTTCCTCAAAATAAATGTGGATAGAATTTTTATCGCCTGTTAATGGTTGGCTTCAGTCACTTTTAAGTATACTGCGTAGAATAGAAGTTGACTTCATAACCAGAACTCAGCATAAAAGACAGTAGTTATGTAGGGATTAATGTCCTGTATCACTTCATGCATCACTAAATTTATCACTTTTTGATGTTTGTGTTGACAGTTTCATCTAATGATTCACTAGATGTTTAAGCTAATAGTTTCCTGTAGACATGTCACATGTGGATGCACCTTGTTTTTCATCTTGTAACGTAGCACTTGAAGCTGGATTTGCTTATTAAATCTTTTCATTATGTAGAACAACACACCAGATGCACATGCACATCCACATCCACATGCTCATGCACCAAAGTATACCCCGCCTGTGGAGAAGCCAGTGAAGACTCCGAAATCTTCTTCAGCAGCTTATGGCTCATCATCATCTGACCGTCCTTACAGCTGTCCATACGAAGGTTGTGACAAATCTTACATCCATGAGTACAAGCTGAATCTTCATTTGAGGAACATGCACCCTGGTCATTTCCCAGAGGAGAACGCGAGAAATGTTCAATCCACTGCTGACAATGAGATAGATGAAGGCAGTGATCAGGACGCATATGCTGCAAGACGTGGAAACGGAAGAAGTCAGAAACAGAGCAGACCAAAACCAAGCTTAAAGCAGCCGCCTTTGAAAGTTGCACGCAAAAGCTCATCTAGTGCTGCTCAAGCCAATCTAATTATATCGAAGAAACCTTGGCCGGTTAAAGAAGAGAACTTCAATGAAGAAGATAGTGAAGAAACAGAGGAGGAGCGGGATGATGTTGGCGATGGATGGAGGTATGGTGAAAACGATGACGACGATGAAGAGACTGAAGAAGATGACTAGGCTTATATGTCATACATACTCATAGGTAGTTAAGTAGTACACTATGTTTTGGGATATAAATGGTTGTCATTGTCTAGAAAATGGGATTGGTCCTTGCTTGTTAATGCCTTTTTGTGTTTTATGAAAAGCATGAGGCTTTAGCTGTTTCCTAAACCCCACCCTCTCACCTAGCTCCATGGAACATGGAGATTTGCAGAACACTCTGAGCTTCTTATTCATTTTTATTCCATAAAAACAAACTGACATCTCTTATTACTATTATTATTATGTATAAATTTGACCATTTCGAGGACTTGAGATCCATAATTTGTTATATATAATTCAAACAATTAAATGGAATTTCAATTTAACATTTGAAGATCGTCACGAATTCGTTTTGAAGTTGCACCTAATGCCCCACAAGTGATATTTACCTTTCATACGTATCGTTTCTTGATATATCATATTATGTTATATAGTATTGTACTATATCATTTCGATAAAAATAATGTTAGGATAAATTATACTTTTCCCTAGTTTATAATATCATTTACTTAAAAAATATCACGCACTAATCTATTATTTATTAAAAATAATAAACTAAAATAATTATACATAACCCCACCAAATCATCATAAATATAAAATAATGTGTAAACTAACTACGATTTACTACTTCAAAATTTCTAAGATTTAATGCTTTTTGATAGCATGAATTAATTTGAACTTGTGGTCTCTGTTAATTTGACCATTGCAAATTTCTGATAAAAATAAGAAAAAGGAAGTTAGGTTTCAACCAACAATGAATAAAGGAGCAAATGTTGGAGGCGGCGGACCAACTGCTGCCGCGGCCGCCGCCGCAGCTCAAAAGCAGAAGAGCTTACTGCAGAGGGTGGATGCTGATATTGGGAATATTGTTGACAATTATGGCTTCATTGTTAACGCTGCACGGGTATGCCCCCATTTCCTTCACCTTCTACCCAGTACTAAAAAATACAGATCGCCCATTAAATTTATACTTCTAAGTTTCTCGGGGCCGAAAACCTTGGCTGTAGAACAAGTAGTGCTCAATTTTAAACTTTTATGTGCAATTGTTGTGATTAAAGTGTCTTGAAGTTGTGGTGGTTTGGTCTGATTAAAGGGAAATTCTAAATCTTGCATGATTTTTGAGACTAATCGCATACCAATGTATCTTTTCCAATTATTGATTGTAGGAATCATTGTTGACATCTCTAATGTGTGGAACAAAATTCAAAATTTGAAACTTACTTCTACAGACAATTGATAGATTAAACTTTGAGATGACATGATTTGTTGAAAAGGGGAAAAGTGATAAATTTCTGTGTCTTGAACATCTCTTTTGCTGCTCATTTGTTCCATTTTAGCTGTGAAGTCCATTATGCTAGTTTCCAACTGTTACAGTGAGACTAGGAGATATATTTACCTTATGTTCTTGCAGATGGGTAATGTAATGTATTTGTCTCCTCTTGTTGACAACTGCTTATAATAGGTCAATGATCCACCAGTCCGAAATTCGCAAGAAGCATTTATGATGGAGATGCGTGCATCTAGGATGGTGAGTTTTTTTTTCTCCACTTATACATTGCTCTGGTGTTCGATGAGATGTTCATCTCAAATTAGATTGAATGTGCATATGAATGGAACACATTTCTTATTTGCAAATTGACAGTATTCATGTGTGAAAAAAGTTGCTCTCTGACCTGAACTCGTACTGCAAAAACTGTTTTTTTACTGTATATGACTGAACAAGGGAAACAAAGGTCATCACCATTTTAAAGTCGTTCTATAATTTGTGGTGACTTTTACTCATTATCCACTTCTTTTTTGACAAAGAACGCAAGTTTTTCCCTAAAGCTATAAGCGAGATCCTCTCTCTGCCTCTTCTCGTAGCTTCAGTTGCCTTCTCGTGAGGGCTAGTCATCTACTATCCTTGACATAGCTTGTTGTGTTTCCTGCTATAAGCAAGACTTGATGTCATTTCCTTTTTGAGCTGATGCAAAGACTTCCACTCAAGTGCAGAGATCTTAAATTTTCAGATACAACTATTCTCCTATCATCTCATATAATATATTGGATGCAATGAACAACAGGTCCATGCAGCTGATTCACTGCTTAAGTTGGTGTCGGAGTTGAAACAAACAGCCATGTTTTCAGGGTTTGCATCTCTAAACGATCATGTGGAGCAGAGAACAGAAGAATTTACCGAACAGGCTGAGAAAACAGAATGCATGTTATCTAGAATTGGAGAGGAGGCAGCTGCTAGCCTTAAGGAGCTTGAGTCACATTATTATTCTTCTGCAGAAAGAACCAGTAGTCTGCCTTCTTACAGCCAAGAAACAATGCCCTAACCATGGCTACAATCACCTTCTTCTTTCCCATTGGTTTCTCCTCTTACTAAGTATATTTGTCTACCTTGAAGGTAGTAACTGGACAAACAATCTAATGATGAGAAATCCAATTTGGTCCCAACTTACTACTACAAGGCCTCATTAACTCAGTATTTGTTGTAACAAATCAACTGCATTCTAGCTAAGAAAAATATGAAACACCAGTTATAGTGGAGGTACCAATTTTACTGCTATTTTGAAGATTTCACTCTATAGCTTATCATATATGTCACACCATGGACACTGCTGATTATCCTTATTGAAAGATTCAAGTTGGAGAAAGTTGTGTTCTTGAAACAGCATACTGTTAGGTGAGGAAGTACAAAAATACTGTTTTAGTCTTATCGATCTATTGGTTTCTTGGCAATTAAAGTTTTGGAGTAAACCGGATGTAACATTTTCAAATAGATTTATACTAGGGTAGGGGCAGACTTTTCATAGCAACCTAAAATAAAACCTGCAATTTCCAATTGAGTATTTAATTCCTTTTGAAGTCAACAAAGTAAAAGAACAACAGAGAGAGTTTTCCGATGCTAGGTTTAATAGTTTCAACCTAATCTTAAAAACTGAAAATCATCTGCAGAACTAATGTCTTCTGGATTATCATTTTGGTAGGGAGGGAAGAGGTCTTCCTTCATATGCACCGCGAATTTAATGGGACTTCACGTACTCTTGGACAATATGCAGACCCTCAGTCTCTTCTCCGTAATCCTGCAAAACGATCACAAGATCAGCTATCATCTCTTTTCATAACTTACCAGGTTCTATTCATATTTCAGCATTTTCAAGAGATATTTTCCTATAATTGCGGGAAGATATAACCAAATTATAGAAAGAGATTATGATACGCAGCAGTTCATGGATTATACCTTCACAACAACACAGCCACAGCCGACCACCTTCCTTGCTTTCCCTTCAGAATCAATCTTACACAACTGTAAACAGACCCCAAAAATAAGAATTTAAAAAAGAAAAAGTTTGTACTCCAATGATGAAAATGCAAATCAAGAGAGTCACGAAGTAAATAGTTATCATCAACTTCCTTAAAAGGACAAATAGGTCTATTATTTTAATAACTGACAAAACCCCGGACTAATAGCAAAGTTCGAAACTCAGTGAATAACAAGCTTTTGTCTCCGCAAGGCATGTGCTTAACCCAGACAATATCACGTGTTGTGGTCGTACAACTAGACCATCAGTAGGTTTACTGGTTAGGCACAACCTTCATAACACACTTTCCAGGTCATTTTCGAAATCAGAAGGTAAGAGTGGCAGACAGTAAAACTGGGAGAGCCTTGGAGCTAAAAAGTAGCAACCACAAATAAACTTACACCAGCCCATTCGCCAAGAGTTTTTGCATTCGGAACCGTAATCAAACTGACATTGTGATCAGCACAGAGCGCTTTGACCAATTTGACATAATCTGGCTGGTCACAGTCCTCTGCTAACACACAAAGCTGTGCAGCATGCTTCTCAATCACCTTTGCACCTTCATGTAGTCCCCGAGAGAGGCCTCCATGAGCCTTAGACTTCCTCAGCACCAGCTGCAAAGCAGTCATGATGTCCATGGGCTCTCCAAGTGATGGAGCAGGAGCCTCGGCAACAGCAACAGCAACATCCTCTCTACAGTCAAAGGAAATATTAAGCAGAGAACCCTCGGGGAAAAGTTTAAGGTAGTAAAAAACTAAAAGAACATAATTAATTAAGCACAGATCAGTATCAAATGTGGCATGAATAATGGAAAACTGAAAAACAAAGTCCAGTTTTCACTCTTTTCAGCAAAGGCAAACTGAAAGGGATATCCCCAACCATTAAGGCCACATTCGATGAAACTTGAGAGACAGCTTAACTTCGGATACCGAGTCCAATCAATGGTTTGCCAGGGAATAGAAATACCCCCATTGATTTGAACTTCCAAGACAGAAGCTGATTCTCAAAATTTTGAACTAATCTAAAATGTTTATATGATGTGTAAAATGTCTGATACCAGATGAGAACTGTTATCAATGGCTCACTGTATAATTTTCTGGAAACAAGGAACAGAGTACTGCTCCATATAAACTAAAGCCATCGTGGTGAGACATTCTATTTCCTGTTTAAATTTTACATCCACTTCATAAAAAGATGGAGAGCAATCTCATGACATTCATGTAAAACCAAGAAGGAGACTGATAAAGAGATGATACAGAAGGATGGGAAAGAGGAAGGAGATCAAGAAGGGCAAAGGACAAAGAAACAAAAGAGTTTCCCAGAGAATTGATGACCATCTCAAGTCACTATCAATATGTGATAGGTTCCTACACTGGGAATTTTCCATTTGTTCACTGAAAAAGGACCTCACTCTTCATCTTACATACTTCAACAAATAAAACATTTCACCAAACTCGCTACTTTGCCATAAAAATGAAACCCCTAAAATCAGTCCATTTTCTCTAAGATAAATATTGTGAAGAATAACACTCTTGTCTATCCACATCACTGATCATTCATTTCAGGGTCGACCTATGAATATAAGACTTTCTATATCTTACACTTCTGTATTTGGGGGTAGCGATCGCATGTTTTTGGCTTTTCGTAAGCGTTATCAGGCAAGTGGTATTTAGTTCTGCTTCAAGCAATTAACTAGCAAAGCAGCAAAGTCCTACATGGTTCTGCTAAATGGGTTCTTGTGATGCTCTTATAGGAACATCTACTAAGTAATAAGGTCAACACTCTTTTTCTTGTTTCCTGAAATTTCAAAACATGACACGATCGTACAAAGTCTTGTGTACTACAATCAATCAACTATCCCAATATATCGATTCCACTATACTTAGACCCAGATAGTTCTAATACTCAATAATTTGTAACGAACTCCCTGAAAGAAGCGATTCACTAAACAGCACACTTATTCCCTACATTGGCATACAAATCTATAACCAAACTAATGGCTCCTCGCAAACATAGGAATGTAATTGTAAATGAATAGTTCAAATAGCACTCAAATAACAACAGACTACTACACACACAAACATAATCACACACCAAGTTGCAAAAACTACTGGTAAAGCTGATCAAGATACTGGTCTCCAGCTCATTACAACCGAAAACGACATCGACAGCAACACTTACAGTCAAGTAAACAAACTGAATTTGACAATAAAATTAACTGAATTCTACTTACCCCGACATTTTTCCAGCAATATTGGTATACCAAAAACTCTGCTACCTGTTCCTCTCAAAAGTAAAACACGGAATTTAGTTAGGTAAATAGAATCAACAATAGACTCCATAAACCCTCATCCCAAATATACCGTGCATATGCAGATCCCACATTTGGGTACCAAATACAACTAATTTATACAAAGACTACATCTTTAATACATATATTTCATAAAATCTTAATACTGAATATATTAAGTTCAATCAAAACATGATAAATGTGCATCAATCAAAGTATGAAAATACCCAATAAAATATTATGCAATAAGTAACAAAGAATTATATCAAACATGAATCTTGAAGTATAAAGATTGTTCCTTTTTGCCAAAATCAAGTAATGGTGAAAAGGGGTCACCTCAAAAAAATGTAGATGTCAAGAATTTTAGTTTGAGTGAATGAGGCAAGATGATGATTTATATGAACCCTAAAATAGTGGCAGTTTAATTACTGTACTACCCTTTTTCTTGATTTTATTTTTTTCATAATTTTTTTTTTTGGTTTAGGTACTAATTAACTCTTTGATCCCCTAGTTTTGGTTGAAATTTAAAAAAAAAATAAAAATACCCTTTTAAAGTATTTGGAGTTTAAAATAAAATAAAATTATATTTAGATATGAATTGTTTCTTTTGGAATTAAAGTTGAATGGTATAATAGGTTACCTTTCTAATTTATTTATTTTTAATTGTATTAGTCCTTTAATAATATTATTTCCCAACATTATTAAAGTATTTGTTAAATAACATTTGGTATGTTGTGTTAGGTACAATTTTTAAATATCAACAAAATTACTGGACTCTACATTATAAAAAAAAAAAGTTACAGAAGAAAGAAAGTGAGAACTGATTCTCTAATAGAGAGGTTCTACTATGCCTCAAAATTTAAGGGCCTCATTTTTAATAGGTTATAAGTTATTATTTTTTAACAAATATTGAATACTATTGTAGAAAAAATAAACTTTTCATGAGAATTAAGGAATTATTAAAAGAAATTTGTCATATTTGGAGTACTATATCTCATGAAAAAATAGTTTAAAATATGAATGATTATATGATTAATTGAAAATTAGAAGAAATCAATTATACAAAAGTTACGGAAAAGGGTCATATTTGCCCTTGTACTCTTAGAAAAGGGTCACATTTATCCTTTATCATAATTTTTTTAATATATTTGCCCTTACCATTCAACTTTAGACACATATTTGCCTTTGTACAGTTTAGTATTGTATCACCATTTTTATTAATCTATGTGGCGCCAACGTGACTCTATGTGCATATATTTTATTATATTATAATTTTATTTTTTATTTAGTGAATTTTATTTTAAAAAATAGGTCGGATAGTTTACTATATAGAAAAAAATTAATTATAATAAAATATATGCACATGGAGTCACGTAAACGCCACATAGATTAATAAAAATGGTGATATACTACTAAATTGTACAAGGCAAATATGTGCTTAAAGTTGGATGATAAGGATATAAAAAAAAATGACGAAGGATAAATATGATCCTTTTCTAAATGTACAAGGACAAATATGAGCCTTTTCTGTAAAAGTTATTAATATTTCAAGTTTAAGATCTCATTTTATTTTTGCTTTAGGCCACTAATATGTTCAAATCGCTTCCGTTTAAATTTATAATAATCATCTCTCAAATTAAGTGGAAAAGGCAAATCTTTGCCCATTATTCGAACTTATGACTACGTCAAAACTTACTGTCAGATTAAAAAAAAAAAGAAAATCACCAGCCCATTTAAACAACATTATCGCTAGAAATGTTCATAGTTTAGTTAAAATCCCATCCAAATTCGTTGTCTTATTTTATGCGATATCACTTGAGCAGTATTTAAAGAAAAAAAAAGATTTTTAAAATTTAAAATTTAATTTAATAATTAAATTATTTTTAAATTATAGTAAAAATAACATTATTTTTGAAATGAACTTTTAAAAAAATAATGTCATATAAAATAAAGGGCAACTTTCACATATAGCAAACAAAAAAAATCGTATTTGTATAATATAACAAACTTTGCATAATTGCGCTCCATAGCAAACATAAAAACTATATAATTCGCTATACATATAAAAGTGTATAATTCGCTGGTCTAAATTGTATAATTCGTTGGCCTAAATTGTATAATTCGCTGGCCTATTTCGCTGCAATTGTATAATTAGCTTTGCATAAAGTTGAATCGAATTAAAATGTATGTATATTGCATAATTATAAGTGTTAGCAAGAAGATATATGTTTTTCTCGCTTTATACAAAAACAGAAACACAATATATACACTTCTATTGTATAAAGCTAGAAAAAATTGTATTTCACTGCAATTGTATAATTCACAATTGTATAATTCTTTGGCCTTTTTCTCTGCAATATTTGAAGTAAAATGTTTGTAAATTATATAATTAAGTGTATAACACGAAGATATACATTTTTGCATGTGTATATATAATTTTCTCTCGCTTTATACAAAACAGAAACAGAAATTATACACTTCTGTGTATAAAGCGAGAGAGGCGAGAATGAGAGAGTGGCGAGCGAGACTTCTGGGAGAGAGACGCCTGGCAAATTTTTGCCAACGTTTGCTATGGAGCACAATTAAATCAAACCCTAGCTATTTCATTTAATTTAGGTTATTAGTTTGCTATTTTACCAAAAATAAAACGGATCCGGAAAGTAAAATATCAATTTTTTTCTGTCTGGGCTTTTGTAGATGATGATCATGTTAGCCAAGGAAAACCCGGCCCGTTAACACTTCTCTACAATCTATTTTCCGTCTTCTCCAATCCCTTTGCCACTGATAAACCCTGGCAGAACCCTAGATCCTCCATTATCGTAAGGACCATTCGAGATGGCTCTCTCCAAGCACATCTTTTTAACCCATCACCTCAGAACCTTAGCTAAACCCCATTATCTCCGCCACCCTCAACCACCACCTTCCTTCATTTCCCTCCGTCTCCTTTCATTTGCCACTCCGGAAGAAGCTGCCGCTGAACGCCGTAAACGCAAACGCCGACTCCGTATTGAACCCCCTTTATCATCCCTCCGTCAGCAACATCAACCTCGTCCCACTACACCTCAAAACCCTAGCTCCACTAATAACCCGAATGCACCGAAGATTCCCGAAACTGTTTCTGTACTATCCGGTAATAGACTTAATCTGCATAATCGGATTCTTAAACTCATTCGTGAGAATGATTTGGATGAAGCTGCTTTGTACACGCGGCACTCTGTTTACTCTAATTGCCGCCCTACTATCTTTACTTGCAACGCTGTAATGGCTGCGCAACTCCGGCAGTCCAGATATTCTGATCTACTTTCTCTTCACCGGTTCATCACGCAGGCTGGTATTGGGGCTAATATTGTCACACATAATTTGCTCCTCACGGCTTTTATGGATTGCCGGAAAACTGATATGGCTATGGAACATTACAAGCAGCTCATCAATAATGCACCTTTTAACCCTTCCCCGACTACGTATCGGATACTTATTAAAGGACTTGTTGATAACAACAAGATTGATAGGGCGATGGAGTTGAAGGAGGAAATGTTGTCCAAAGGGCTTAGTGCTGATCCGATTGTGTATAGTTATTTGATGTCTGGACAAGCTAAGGTTTCGAACCCAGATGCAGTTTTCGAGCTGTATGAAGAATTAAAGGAGAAATTGGGAGGAAGTGTTTCGGATGGAGTGATTTATGGGAGTTTAATGAAAGGTTATTTCTTGAGGGGAATGGAGCAGGAGGCTATGGAGTGTTATGAGGAAACTGTGGGTGAGAATTCTAAGCTTAAGATGAGTGCTGTGGCATTCAACTATATTCTAGATGCTTTAAGCAAGAACGGAAAGTTCGATGAGGCATTAAAGCTATTTGACAGGATGCTGAATGAGCACGATCCTCCAAAAAGATTGACAGTGAATTTGGGTAGCTATAATGTAATGGTGGATGGTTATTGTGCATTGGGAAGGTTCAAAGACGCAATCAATGTTTTTAACAGCATGGGAGAGAAGAGGTGTAGACCAGACACATTGTCTTACAATAATCTGATTGAGCAGTTGTGCAAAAATGACTTGTTGGGTGAGGCTGAGGAGCTCTATAAGGATATGGGCGAAAAAGGGGTCAGCCCTGATGAGTTCACGTTTGTTTTGTTGATGGATACTTGCTTTAAAGAAAGTAGGCCTGATGACGCTGCTGCGTATTTTAAGACCATGGTGGAGTCTAAATTGAGGCCTAATCTTGGAGTTTATGATAGGTTGGTTGATGGTTTGGTCAAAGTTGGTAAAGTTGATGAAGCAAAATCATTTTTTGATCTGATGATGGGAAAGCTCAGGATGAATGATGATAGCTACAAGTTTATGATGAACGCATTGTTTGATATTGGGCAGCATGATGAGGTGCTTAAGATTGTGGATAGAATGTTGAGGGAGGATCCAGCTGATTTCTCTGATGAGTTGCAAGAGTTTGTTCGAGAAGCCTTGGCGAAGGAAGGTAGAGATGAGGAGTTGACCAAACTTATGGATGATATTGAAAGGGAGAAGAAAGAAGCTGCTGACAGGGAGGCTGAAGCAGCTGAAAAAGCGAAGGCCAGTGCAAGAGCTGCTGTTTCCTCTTTGATAAATAGTCCTAAATTGTTTGGAAATAAGCAGCCTGAAGAGCAGTCAACAATTACTGGTGAGGCTGCCAGCATCAACGACAATGACAAACAAGAGGAGGTGAGTGTTCAAGAAACTGCTGCGGAGGCTAGTTCCTCTGGTGAGGGTGGAGAAGCTGAGAGCCTTGTTGCTGCAGAAGCTAGAAGTGATGGTGCACTTTGATGAGGTAGCAGAATGATAAAATATGTTGGGTGACAACTAATGAGAAACAGTAGTAGGTTTCCTTTCACTCTGCCACACTTGCAAGCACGAACTATATAATGCTCTTATGATAAATTACTAGTGGGAAATTGTTTGTAATTTAGATGGAAATGAAATGAAATGATTTTTTTGATCATCTTCAAGTAAATGGTGAGTAACAAATTGCAATGCAGCAATATATCTGGTCTAAATCTAACTCGTTTCATTTTTTGTTTCACTAGTACAGTAGTACTTAAGTTATTTTGTGAATGTACTACTGTGAGACCTGTATTATAGTGTTATTAATGTAGTTATATATATTTTTAATCAAAATATTCATGTAGTTGAAGAATCATAGGAAGCATCAGCTTCCCATCTAGGTTCACAGTGGATACACTTTATATTAGAATGGCAACACTATTATGTGTGTAGCACCAAGGGCGCTAGGCCATCTTTACGATTACAAAAGCATCAGAAGGCATAGCTTCTACAGGTAACATCTTCCTTACACCAAAAGTGCTGGTTCTTTTTTGGTCTGACTAGTCCTCCAGACAAAGTTCCGACAAGCAAGCAGCTTCCCTGTAGTCTTGGCCATGATCCATGACAAAATCTTTCATGCTCGGGAAGA